TAGCAACAGCAAGAAGCCTCCAACAACCACTAACCAGCTGGTCAGGGAATACACATTTTTCCCTAGTGATTGGTGGTTGCCATAGGGTTGCCAGCTGGTTGTTACGCCTGTGTTATTGAGGACTAAGCTGTGAATCCTGATAATCACACTGTTTGTGTTTCATCTGCTATTTAATACGTAGCAGCATAGTGAATTAATGATGCTGAATGTTTCCTTATCAAGCGGCAACATCTTCGGTCTTCTTTTAGTTCGCTGGCAAAGACCACTACAGTGTGCTTTCAATCAACTTGTGCAAATCAAGTTACACTTTTCAGATTTTTACAGCATCAAATGATGAGTCAATTAGGCAATTACTCCTCAGTGTGAGACGAGAAGTGTTCAGTTTTTCACAATTGCTTAAATGCGTCTCTTGAACCTTTTGCTATTTTCTGAAAACGAAAATCCAATTTCCAAAGTACTTACTCAAAACTTGCTCAGTCATAATAACCCTACTGTGCAGTCATTACACACTTCAAGAAGTTGAAAACACAATGTTCAGAACATGTAACTCAAGTCTTTCCAACCCCATGTGGTGTTTTTGAAGCTCTTTTAGAAAAAAGGAAGTAATTCTACCAAATTGTGTTGTTCTTGAGCCACTTTGTAGTTGCCTTCTTCCTCAGTTCAGCTGTATTTGACCAGTAGAAACTGGTCTCCGATAACCTCAGGGGGAAGAAGTTGAACACAATTACGCCACACCTGTTGTTGTTTGAGTGCAACTGTGCAAAGTTATCAATGTGATGTAATGTAACCTATTTATGTGAGTTCAGAGTGAACAGGCTGCACAGAGAGTTGAGGGCAGACGCTGTACCACCAGTGATAGAAGCAATCTGAGAGGCAGAGGAGGAACGTTGTGTGTAGGAGGTGCTGGATGAGGACAAGGAGGAGAAAAGCACGGCTGAGAAGAGTAATTTCAGATGAAATTTAGTTATTGTGATAGATCACGTTTGAGTTCATGGAACGGGAAGCAGGACAGAAAATTATATGTGGCCCCCAGTGGAAAAAACAGGTAACATCTGTGATTTCCCAATAGCACGAGGCAGGGGGCTTTTTTATGTCAGCATGGACGTTTAGAACAAAGCTTTCAAAACATGTCAGTTTTGAAAGAATCAATGTGAGCCTTTCTACCATTCACCAGATCCTGGGTGCAGATAAAGCAAGTGTACAGAGTATCCTTTAAGGCACGATCAGAGATCAGGCCAGTGTGGGTTCCCTCTGGATTGATATAGCACAGAGATGTGAAGCTGGTGCCGAAGGAATCACTTGTAGACTTGGAGTTACATTTACAGAGTGTTTTAATATGCATTTCACTTGCATTATACAGTGGGTGAAATCATTATGTGATCCCCTGATGAATTTTGGAAGTTTTCTTGCTTCCAAAGATACGGAAAACCTCTAATTTTTATGGTAGTTTCATTTTAATGGGGAGAGAGAGGGAGAAAGAACATCAATCACAAATCCAGAAAAAAACACATTACATGAATGTTATAAATTGATTTGCATGTCACTAAGTGGAATAGGCATAGCGGTAAGATGTTCCTTGTAGTTGGTCAACAGGTTAGGAGGGATTTTGGCTCACTCATCTTTACAGAAAGTCACAGGAATGACTCGGAGGTGTAGCTCTCTCCACAGATTATTTATAGGATTGAAGTCGGGAGACTGGCTAGGCCACTCCGTGATCTCAATGTGCTTCTTCTTTAGCCACTCCTGTGTTACTTTTGCTGCATGTTTTGGGTCACTGTCATGCTGGAAGACCACTGAAGATGGGTCTTCAGTGGTCTGGCTGAGCGAAGGAGTTTCATGTCCAACATTTTACGATACAACTTCACCATTTGCTGGTGAAGTCGTGTTGTAGCATTAGCAGAAAAACAAAAGTGTAACGTTTCCACCTCCGTGCTTGACTGTGGGGTGGTGTTATTTGGGCCATACTCAGGATTTCTCTCCCTCCAAACACAGTGGGTTGAGTTGATGCCAAAGAGCTCAATTTTGGTTTCATCTGCCCTAAGCACTTTCTCCCAAGCCCTCTCTAAATCATTTAGATGTTCACTGGCAAACTTAAGAAGGAGCTGCCTTCTTGAGCTGGGGGACCCTGCTGCAAGATTTCAATCCATTATGTCATTGCATGTTACCAATGGCGTTCTTGGTGACTGTGCCAACTGCCTTCAGATCATTAACAAGCTCCTCCTGTGTAGTTTTGGGTCGATCCACCAACTTCCTCATGATCATCCTCACTTCCATGTGAGGTGATTGATTTTAAATTTCTTCCATTTCCGAATAATCGCACCAGCAGTTGTCACCTTCTTTCTCTAAGCTTCTCGATGATGTTCTTGTAGCTCATTCCAGCCTCGTGCAAGTCTACAAATATTGTCCCTGATGTCCTTGATGACAGCTCCTCGGTCTTGCCCATGATGGTGGAGATGTTGGAATTTTATTGCTTGTAGCGCTTAACAGTTTTCAATATTCAATTTATTTTACAGAAAAAGAATTTGTGTGGTTTTTGTAGAAATGCATTTATTTTATGAAGTTTGGTTTTCTCTGGTGCTACATGCCCATTTTTGATGTAGTTTGCAAAAACTGCTCTGTAGTGTTTTTATTTAACACTCGCTGTGTGTAGGGCTGGGCGATATGACCCAAAATTCATATCTCGATATTTTTTAGCTGGATGGCGATATAAGATATATATCTCGATTTTTTTTTTAAAGCCCAAGTTTAGAACAAAAAGAGAGTTCTTAGTCACACTGTGTCCCAGATGTCACACGGGCACTTTTATTTACATACAGCGTAGATGTACATGAAGAAATTACTTAAAAATAAATTATCAGCATTTATTAAATAATCATGGTCCATAAATAAAAGAAAACAATGTTGTTTTTGTGCATAACAAAAAGCTCACAATTGTGCAGTCAAAATGTAAACTAATAGACGCTGAGCATAATAAGAGACAGATTTCACAGCTGCACCACGTCTCTGAACAGGTGCCATTTGTGGTCCTTATACACACACAGTACGGTAATATTACCTTGAAGCACAGTAGGTATCACTCCGCGAGGCTCCTCCCCGGTAGCCGTAATCCTCCGACAATCCATCAAGCGGTGCAGCTCCGTAGCTTAGCAAAGTCATATTAAAACATTTTTGGACAGATTGATGAGCGCTGTGTACCACATAAAATCGGTTTGCGGTCAGTAAGCACAACCAGAATTCATACATAAGGCGCACTGTCGAGAAAATGAAAGGATTTTAGGCCGTGCAGCTCCTCCGGGCTGCATGTCGTTAGCGCAGTTAGCTCGTTAGCGTGGTTAGCTCGCTAACACGTTGACGCCGTCCAGCCCCACGCACGGGACGATCCGCGGTAACTCGCTAACGGAGATTTTCCGCTTTCATCTCGTCATTGCCTGCAGGTGAAGCTATGGGGGAGGGGGAGTTGTGTTCAGTGAAGTAGAGGCGAGGCCGAGTAACGTTGCATAGAGACAAAAGTGGACGAAAGAGAGGCAAACCTGCGGCTCCACAAGTATAATTATAACGTAACATAAGCTATATCGATATAAACGATATTGTCACATCTTATATCTCGTATGAAAATATATCGATATTTTTAAAAAACTCGATATATCGCCCAGCCCTAGCTGTGTGTATGATCTTTAAACATGTTTGAGCACGATAAAGCAGTTTGGGGGGAGATTATGTTTGATTTTGCCTGAGGAGTGAGTGGTTTTATGTATTTAGTTTCAAAATTGGGTTTTGTGTTTACAGTTTGGAGAAAGAAGATGGAAGGTTTCAAGAGGTGTGCTTTTGGTAGTTATGAGAGGCACTTATATTTGTGTTTATTTCCCTCTTTGGCTCTCATATAGTATCGATTTAGGTTGTCATAAGTGGCATGTTTTGTTTTGTGTTCCAGTTGGCAATGTGCCGATTGAGTTTTGGGCACATTCACTGCTGCCAGTTCAGCACTGCTGAACAATGGCCACAGAGAAATACACATATCTTACAAACACACAGACAGAGGCTAATTTTCACATGTAAGCACTGCCCTTCTTCTTATACATAAAGTATTCAAGCAACCAGTGTTCACAGTTATAGCTTCTTTTGTTTTTCTACTGTTTTTTAAATGCAGTGAAGTATTTGTTGAGCACAGGCTCTACAGAAACAAGCTGACTGTTTAATAACAACAGACAGTCATCTAACTTTACTGCGCTCTATTCTTGCTTTGATCTTATTGATTTCATTTCATTGTCGGGCTCTCTGAATATTAGTTATAATAAGTTTCCATCCTCTGACATGCTGAAAACACCAGTAGCATCACTAAAAACTTCATCCTGTGTTTCCTGCCTGGCGGCATCTGTTGCCAGACAGACGAGTTCAAACGCCTTCGAAATCTGAGTGCAACAAAAATATTTTCTGTTAGCATCTCTCCCACAACATCACCCTCCAAAGTCAGTTCTTCCCATTATGATCTCCTGAAAGTCAACGGCAACGCAAAATCTCTTTGAGTCTCTGTGTGCTCAAGTACGAACACTTTTAGATTTTGCGTGCTTGTGATCGTGTGTGCTTGTGTACCAGCACGTTCCATGTTTGTGGCATATTGATTGCCACTGCTATGCGGGGAAATGAGGATGGATCAGTATGAAGAAGGAGGAACAGAAGACAATACACAAACAGTGAGAGTGGCAAAAAGAATGAAAGATACACAAAATGAGCTACATATCAGTCTGAGACAGGAGGAGAGATTTATTTAAGCTCTCTGAATCCTCTTTCCTTTCTGATGCTTGTATTCAATGTTTCCCTCCCCCATTATGAATTCCAAATGATCCATGTACCAAATACTCTTCTCTTGACAGAGTCTTAGTTTGAGCAGTGTTCCCGTCTGAGACGGAGCAGTGCTGGAAGGAGGCATGTTTTGCTTTGGGAGTGCATTGTTTTGTTTTCTAAACTCTTCTTCTCTGTGTGTCTTGTTTGTTCTCTTGCAGAACAATCACTTTGGACAATCAGCTGGTTGTCTTGGCAACCGCCGCAACGGACGCCGGACGTTATCATGTAGAGGCGGTGAACGCGCTGACCGGCGAGACTGTGACGAGTCCTGCTGTCTACCTGAGCATCTCAGGTAAAAATAAATAAAAAACGTGTTAAATTGGTATTTACTAACAGTGCAAACAGCCCATCTGGTAAACACTATGCTCAGTATTAGCATTAGTTTGGTTTACAGTCAAACCATCCAGCATATTTCTGTCCCTCAAATATTTTTCTGTTGGGGTGGGGCTTCATTAGGTTTTCTGTGGTCTTCTGTGGTTGTTGTGTGAATAAATCTGAATCCCTTTTACAGAACATAACTCCCTTTGATTGATAGAGAAGACAGTTTTGAGTGTCGGGCTAATTACTAAACCTGAAAATGAGCTGCAAAAGACATAAAGAGATGATTAAAAACATATCTGACACATCACAGAAACAACATACTTGTGCACACATTATTTGCAAACTAAAATGCTGGAGGTCTTGGCTCATCATTAAGTAGAGATGCTTGAATTATTGATTTGATTATTAAAATCTCAAATTAGAGATTCCAGCAACCAAAAATTACCATAATGCAGCCGGCAGGAGTTTTATTAGAGAAGCATCACCACTCACATGGTGAAGCTCAACAACAAATAAACTCGGCATCACAGAGTGATTTTTTAATGTCTTACATCTAGTAGGGAGGAACCAGCTTGTAGAGAGATCAGGAACCAATAATAGATCTCTGTTTTGGCCTTTGCCATATCAACAAGCAAGTGAGACATAATTTGATAAGATATTTGATGCACTTAAAGCTTTGAAAATTTAGAGTGTTGCCAGTTTCTGGTCCGAAAGGAAATCTGTCTCAGTCACATAAAGTGTGTACTACACTCACCAGCCACTTTGTTGTTCAACCGCTCATTAATGCAAATATCTATTTAGCCAACCACAACACTAATTCAGTGCATTTAGGCATGTAGTCATGGTGTAGATAACCTGCTGAAGCACGAATGGAGCATCAGAACGGTGAAGAAACGTGAGTTAACTGACTTTGAATGTTGGTGCCAGATTGGCTGGTCTCAGAATTTCAGGAACTGCTGATCTACTGGGACTGACAGAGAAAAGACTTAAACTATTAATTGAGCAGAATTTCTCTGGGTTAATGTCAGAAGTTAAAGACGGACAGCCAGACTGCTTCAAGCTGATAGGAAAGCAACAATAACTCAAATAACCACTTGTTACAACCAATGTATGCAGAAGAGCATCTCTGAATGCACAAGATGCAAACCTTGAAGCAGATTGGTTACTGCAGTAGCTAATAACAGGAACTGAGGAAAGTGAGGCTAAATGTGGGATGAGCAATACTGGACAACAGAAAAGTAGAAATTTTTTGCTCATTTCATGAGTCTCAATTTGTCTTGTGATTGTTGTTTAATAGGTTAATAACTTGATGTAAACAACGTGAAAATATGGATCCATTTTGCCTTGTTTCAACAGTTCTGGCTGGTGGCGTGGGTGAAATCTTTTTGGCACACTTTGTCCCCTTAGTACCAACTAGATCATTTAAACACCACAGCCTGAGTACTGTTGAGGACCCCTTATGCCTTATGACCACAGTGTACCCATTGTCTGATGGCTGCTTCCAGCAGAATCACGCTCCATGTCAACTCAAACTGGTTTCTTGAACATAACAATAAGTTCACTGTACAGAAATGGCCTCCACACTCACCAGATAGTGTTTCAGATCAGTCCAGTAGAGCATCTTTGGGATGTAGTGAAACAGGAGATTCACATCATGGATGTGCAGCCAACTAATCTGAAGCAACTGTGTGATGCTGTTATGTCAATATGGACCAAAATCTCCAAAGACCAAAGGTTCCAGCAACTTGTTGAGTCTATGTCAGGAACAGTTACGGCAGAACAAGGTCGAACCCAGTACTAGTGAGGTGTACCTAATAAAGTGTCTGGTGAGTGACTTTAAAGAAACATGCATTGGCTTTGGGTCTTTAGATGACATGTAATGTGTACGGGTTCCCATACCTCCCTATCCATGATCTTCCTACTTTAAATGCTTTTTCCTCCCCTTGGTTGATGTTCATGTGTGTGTTTCCTTGAAACATGAGAAGTAGGGCTGGGCGATATATCGAGTTTTTTAAAAATATCGATATATTTTCATACGAGATATAAGATGTGACAATATCGTTTATATCGATATAGCTTATGTTACGTTATAATTATACTTGTGGAGCCGCAGGTTTGCCTCTCTTTCGTCCACTTTTGTCTCTATGCAACGTTACTCACAACACAACTCCCCCTCCCCCATAGCTTCATCTGCAGGCAATGACAAGATGAAAGCGGAAAATCTCCGTTAGCGAGTTACCGCGGATCGTCCCGTGCGTGGGGCTGGACGGCGTCAACGTGTTAGCGAGCTAACCACGCTAACGAGCTAACCGCGCTAACGACATGCAGCCCGGAGGAGCTGCACGGCCTAAAATCCTTTCATTTTCTCAAAACTCGACAGTGCGCCTTATGTATGAATTCTGGTTGTGCTTACTGACCGCGAACCGATTTTATGTGGTACACAGCGCTCAGCAATCTGTCAAAAATGTTTTAATATGACTTTGCTAACCTACGGAGCTGCACCGCTTGATGGATTGTCGGAGGATTACGGCTACCGGGGAGGAGCCTCGCGGAGTGATACGTACTGTGCTTCAACGTGATATTACCGTACTGTGTGTGTATAAGGACCACAAATGGCACCTGTTCACAGACGTGGTGCAGCTGTGAAATCTGTCTCTTTGTTATTATGCTCAGCGTCTATTAGTTTACATTTTGACTGCACAATTGTGAGCTTTTTGTTATGCACAAAAACAACATTGTTTTCTTTTATTTATGGACCATGATTATTTAATAAATGCTGATAATTTATTTTTAAGTAATTTCTTCATGTACATCTACGCTGTATGTAAATAAAAGTGCCTGTGTGACATCTGGGACACAGTGTGACTAAGAACTCTCTTTTTGTTCTTAACTTATGGCTTTAAAAAAAAAAATCGAGATATATATCTTATATCGCCATCCAGCTAAAAAATATCGAGATATGAATTTTGGGTCATATCGCCCAGCCCTAATGAGAAGTGTTAGTTGTGTTGTATACTCTACTGTACTATGCTTTCTGAGCTTTGTGCTTCCTGTCAAAAAACTTGACTGTCAAAAACTACAAGAGTTAGATCTTTGTGGTTGATCCAGTCATTTCATTGAGTCTGCAAGCTTTGAATGTGCTTTTACTTGTAAAAACAGCATGCACTTATTGCGTGTTGTTCACTGTTGTGAATGACAAGCAGCTCTTTGTTCATTTCTCCGGAAACAGGCTTCAGTCAGAAGAACTGCAAAGTTTGATGGATTTTAGCCTCTTTGTGTGTTCCCGTCTCTGTCATGGCCTTTATCGCTGAATCACTTTATTGCTGTATGCCTCTCTCTCTATCTCTTCTCCTTGGAGGCCGGAGGATTGACTCTACTGTCTAACAGTCCTTCACTTGAAGTGTTCACCATGGTTAAATGAAAGCGAGAGGGAGGGAGGGAGCCCTCTGTCCCTCGTGGCTGTATAGAGTTTTAATTAGATTCTCTTTACAGGGTTGTATCCTTTGGCATCCTTTGTCACAACTGCGCGCACACGCACGCACGCACGCACACATACACGCACACGCACACACACACACACACACACACACACACACACACACACACACACACACAATCAAATAAATTTAGGCACAGTACCTTGTTACAGCTGTCAGTGTGAAGTGCTCCCGTGGGCGTTTTTAGAAATAGTAAGGGTATAGTTAGGTTTCACTGATCAGTCTTCGGCCATAACAGCTATGCATGCATGGTTGTGTGTGTGTGCGTGTGTGTTTGTGTGTTTCTGTTGAAAACTGTGTTTTCTACAATAAACATTTTCTGGGTAAATGCCTTTTTCTATATAAAAGCATATTTCAGTTATTTGTTATTGAGACAGGGAAGAAATAGAAGATCATGGAATTTGATAAAAACAGGGACAAACCAAAGAGGTAAAATGTTGCAAATCGTGCAGGGTGTGAAAAAGAGAGCGTGAGCAAGGAAACATGGAAACACCAGATCTTTATTCATGTATTTGCTTTTTCTCAGGGCTGTTTTTTGACATTAAGCATCACATTGATCACTTGGTTGGTTTTGGAAATAGAAAAGGTGTTAAGCATAGCTTTGAACACTATGTAGCTATTGAATGCACACAGATGCCACTGATTATAGCCACAGAGAGAAGGAGACTGGGCCTGTTAATGACACAGATGAGTCGAGGGTTGTTGTCAGGAAATTTGAAGGAGAAAAAAGATCAATTTAAGTCAATAAAGTGTTTAACACTTAACCTAGTTAACTGACACGAGAACATGTGAATGAACTCTCGCAAATGGTGTTTTCGTTCATGTCTTCCACCACTTTGTTCTTATTTTCCCACCTCTTCCTTTACATTTCCTGTTCTGTCGCTTCCCTTCATTTCCTGTCACCCCCTCTCTTCTCTTCTCTTTCCATTAGGCAGCCTGTAGAGGATCTGAAGGCAGAAGTTCATAGCTGTCAGTCATATTTCTAAAAATGTTGTCTTTCTCTTCATAAATTCAGCAGAATAAATGAGGTACCTATTTTCTATTCTCCCCTTTCTTTCTTTGATTCAAGCATTGTGCTCAACAGACAAGAACGAGGGAGAAAAAGGACTGGTAGAGACAGAAAGACTTAATGAAGTGAGACGTGGGTGTAGACTGAGGATATGACCAACAACCTGTTCATGTCAGGACTGCTGTTGATGAAAGTGTGTGCCCTGCACTCACACACGTACACAGACACACACACACACACAGACACAAGAACAGGCATGAAAAGTTAAGATATTGTCACATTCGTAAAACCTTTCTGTCACATTCATGCTGTGGCACGACCAACACTCAAATTCTTTTTGCTAATCCGCAAAGCCTGCAAGGGCCGAGGAAAGTGTCAGACAACCAGCTGCATGCCCTACCTACTTGACAGATCCATTATCTGCATGTCCCTGACCACTGTCCTGTAAGTGTGGCCTAGACTGCT